TAGAGTGGTGTGTTTGAAACACGCCTTGCACTGGAAACGTATCCAGAGCCCTGGCACGGGCTGCCCCTCCACAGAGGCTGTGGAGGCTCCTTCTCCGGAGATCTTCCCAACCCTCTTGGATGCAGCCSTGTGCCCCATGCTCTGGGTGATGCTGTGTGTGCAGGGGGCTTGGATTAGATGGTCTCCAAAGGTCCCTTCCAGCCTCAAGGACTCTATGATTGCCTCCTATCATTCTCCATATGTTAAAGTTCAGTAATTTGTTTTGAGGTAGTTTCCTGGTCATTTTGAAGAGGGAGCAGGTTTTGCCTAAAAGAAAACATTATTTCATCTGGAAATCATGACCTAGGAGAACTTAATTTATTTATAATTACCCCGTGTTCTGCATGTTTTAAGGCTATGTTTGGCTAGTAATTGCCTTGCTATTAAAATATGAGTAGGATTCTTACCACTCTAAATTGGTGACCTATCAGTTAGTCGTGTGATTGTGTTCTTTACAAGAATTTTGCTTTTTAAAAAAAAAAAAACAGTATGATTTGCTTTAAATTCCTGTGACAGCAGGAGACAGTGTTACCTTACCTGCAAAAAAAAGGGGAATAGCAAGTGCCAAGTGTTGGAGAAGGCCTTTATTTTTGTGCCAACTTCCATCTGCTCCGAGCACAGGAGCTTTTGCTGAGGTGCTACCTACGTCCATGGGGTTTGCAGAGGTTTTGCTTCTCTGCTCTGGGGTGGGATTCACTAAGTGGCCCTGGGCTTAAGGTTCCCCAAGGTGTCTGCTTTGAAAGAAATTCTTAAATATCAGTACTAGTTATAATGAGCGGAGTTTACTGAATGACGATGGATGAAAAGGGAAAAAGAAGGAAGACACTGATCCGGGTGGGTCGGGTTTGGCAATGGGAGCAGTGGGTTGTGCTGSAGCAGGACGGGGACAGCGGCCCTGCGCCCAGGGGAACTGCTGGCAGGTCTGTGGGAGCCCTGCCTCGCACCCAGCTCGGTTTCCAGCTCTCCTTAGCACTGGGAAACCAAAAAAAAAGGTCATGTTCAAAATGTACTTTGTGCTGAGCTCTGTCTTGCTTTGTGGGGCCTTGGGGATCTGTTTTAGCTTAACAAATCGCCTCAAAAGAAGGGCAAGAGGACTGGTTTGGCAGGAATGTGAACCAACTGGAAGCACTAGCAGTTGTCTCTACAGGACCAGAACCAGTACACAGAGCTACCCAGGGGTCACGGAGATCTCCGAGAGGCAAAGCCGAGAGGAGCRCCTTTCAAGCCATGAATTACAGCTGATTAATCATTATAAAATATGAAAGGTGCTGTCAGACCGTCTTCTGGGCTTCTGAGGAAGCAAAGGTTGTGCAAGTAATTGGGAAAGTAGCTTTCAGGGCTGCAGGCTCTTCCCGTTGCACACRCTTGTGTCTGCCTGGACACAAATGGCAGGCAGAAAACCTGGTGCTTTCTGGCTTTCCTTGGTGATCTAGAAAGTGGCCGAGTCTTTTGTGTTGGGCTCCAGGTGGTTCTTAGGCCGAGTGGAGACGAAACGTGGTGGACTTGGAGGGTGGTGCCAGCGCTGTGACCAGTGTGGAGGGTCCTGGGGTGGCAGAGGGTGCCCGGCTCCTCTCGCAGCCGGCGGCAGCGGGCGCTGGAGGCAGCGGCTTCAGCAGGAGCTGTCAGGCTGCAGCAGGAGCCCTCGCTGCTGCGGCTGCCCGGGTGCTTCAGGGTGCGGATGGAGGGACAAGTCGCAGCCTGCACGTCCTGGCGTGGAGGAGAAGTGACTCAGGGCAGGCGTGCAGGGACACGGGGTGCCCTGCTCCGTGCTGGGACACGGGCGCCCTGCTCTGCTTGTCAGCACCCCGCACTCAGAGTCGCTTCCTCCCTASCTGCCCTCTTCACTCGCCTCCTCCGCCCTTCTCTTCTCTTTCTTATTTAAATTTTTCCCTTTGTTGTTTGCTTCCAGTAATTCTCACCGGCCAAGCGAGCGGCCCGTGCTGTCCCCTGTTGGGAGCTCTTCAATAATGCATCCAAGGAGTCAAAATTCAGGGCACGAGTAATGAAAATCATTCCCCGCGTTTCCTGCAGCCGCATTAGCTGTGACACAGATCCATCACTTGCGTAGCATCATTAAAAGGCAGTGGAATTACATCAGGGATTGATGTGATCATATGCATGTGAAGACCAAGAGAGGAGAAGGTGTGATTTATGTGATATAAGCATAAGCTGCCATCCCAAACGATAGCCACGTGTGGTGTGACAGTTCCTTTTCCTAGGGCAATGATAGCTTTTGAATTTACTGTGCAAAAGTGTTCCTGTGTTTTCATTTAGCTCTTAAACACAGCAGTGCCTTAATCTTGTTCTTTTTTTTTTTTCAGTTGAATTATAGATGGCATTGAATTTGCATAATTTTTACATTATTGAAGTTCTTTATATTTTTTGGAGCTGCGGTGTTGTCTGTCAGCCCCTTACTGTGCTGCTTTTCATGGAATATAGGAAAACTGCTGTGACTGCAACCTTAGTGAAGACAAGTGTAGCAGATACAGGAAGTATAAATGAAGCAAGATAAATGTTATGTGGATTTTATAATTATTATTAATAATTACATTAAGATCCTAATAACTATTAGTGGTCTCTTCAGAAGCACAGGTAAAGCTGAACAAAAACTCCTTGATTTTCAGGACATGTTAGTTTTCCTCTTCCACCCTTCCTAGCCTGTAGTGGTTTGTGCCCACCAAGAAAGAGGGCAGAGCTGAGCCCGGCTCAGCCAGGCTGATGGGCTGGCTTGACCAACAGCTCCCTCCCTTCTACCTCTCCCTTCTGTGGAAGGGAGAGGACCTTAGGTGAGGCTGAAGATGACGCTTAGCGGGGTGGTGAGGGAGCACCAAGCGCTCCCGTGTGAATTATCGCCTCATATCAGGGAGTTCCTGGCAGCTGCTCCTTCAGCTGGCCTCGGCACCGTATGTTTGCACCGCCAGGAGCTCCAAACTGTTGAGATAAGTAGCTGCTGAGGCCGCCTATTTAGTAAATTTGTCAATCAGCTCATAGAGCTATAAGTAAATGGGGCTTTATTGCCAAGGTTTATTGCTCTCTGCGGTTGGGTAGGAGTTTACATGATTTTCTGAGGAGCTCTTTTATCTCCAAGTACAGCGGTGAGGAGAACTCGCTTCGGGAGCGCAGCAGCAGTGTGGAGGACTCGTGATCTCAACGTTGGTCCTGGGCGGTTTTTCAAGGCATAAGAATGTTTCTAAACTCTGAGATCCAGTGAACAAATCAGGACATTTCAGCTTTAGAGAAATACTTGTAATGTGCAGGATTTCCATCCTCCCAAATCTGTCTTAATGGGTAGCATTGAACTGCCACAGGAAGGTGCCTTTTCTTTTCTGTCCACTTTTTTTTGGCTTCCTTTGAGCGTCTGCTACTCTAGACATTGGAAGTGATGTCAGTCCAGCTTGCACTTGAATCCAGCAAGGTGCTCAGCATCCTACCCGTGACACATAACTGACTTCGGTGTGTGATCCATTCACACAAGTGAAATCAAGTTTGTGTTTGAAATACCTGCTGATGAGGGACAGGGTTCCGGGTGCTGCGAGGTCCAGCCCTTGGAGGAAGAGCAGAGCTGTTGGGTTGTGTTGAGCGAGCACTTGGTGACTCCCCAAGGAGCGACGCTGCGGCCTGCAGCCGGCCTCTGTTTCTGTCACAGGCCTTAACCTTCTTCATRGGCATCCCCCTAACTGCTGCTTCCCACCCCACCGTCTTCTCATACGCTCTTAAGTTTTCTCTCAGTAAAAATACCCAGAGGAAAAGGAACCCAGCTGTGTGTTGTTCATTGCTTAGCGGAGGCTATAGGTAAGAATACCCCGAAACTCCCCTGCCCTTAGTGGTGCAGTATTTGGCCGCCCGTTGTGGCCATCCGTGGTTCGCAGGAACAGAGCAAGCACCTGCACCAGACACAGTATCATGGGACGGGCCCGGGGAACCTGAGAGTTTAAAGACAGGTGAATGTCAGTATTATTTTCCACTTGGCCTACAGTGTTTAGTCTTTGGGGAGAGGGCCTGGGTTGGTTTGGCTTCATTTCAAAGCCGGGTCCCTTCCRTGTCTGGTTACACTTAAAACGTTAGCGTCAGCTAACAACAAACCTCCGGGTAAACCCRCTGCGTTGGCAGTGCCTGGACATGGCCTTATCTCGTGGGCACATTTGGTAACATCAGGCAATTTTCATTAAAAGAACAAAGAGTAGCGTGGCCATGGAGCAGCTGTCATATTTTATTGCAAAACACAAATATGTGGGAAATCAATGGCAGAAGGAGGGCTGTACAGTGCATATTTCCAGTAATCCCCACAACCAGGGGGAAGGTAGAAGCCTGGCCTAAGTGCAGGAGCAGATGGCAAGGAACTTTAGAAAGCTGTGCTGTGATTTTTGCCCTTTCAAGTGTTTGTCCTTCTCCTTTGATCCTTAGATCTTGAATTTAATTGTTTCATCTTCTTTCACTCACTGTTTTCAGCTTTAACTTTCCCTTTAGATTGTTTTTGTTTGGTGAAGTTTGTTTTAGTGTGGGTTTTGTTATAGTTCCATATTGTGAAATATAGAAAGAAAGATGGTTCCTGCTTTTCTTCAGTGCTGTTTGCATCCAATAAAATACCAGCTGCATCTCTGCCACACACAGTTGTAATGATACACTGGAAAAAAATCCCTCTCTCAAAGGTGTTGAGAGACTTGCAGCGCATATAAAGTTGTATCAGGCTTTCTTGGAAGGGAGGTACTCTGGGATTATGATAGTACATCTCAAATAAACACCTATGGGAGTTTGTTTTCATCACTATTCCATTAAATTTAATTTTTACTGATAAGTAGTTAAGCTTACAAATATGCTCTCTTTGAATCTAACATTTTTATCTCCACTTAGCTTTCAGTTAAATTAAAAAAAATATTTTGCAGTGTTTTGAAGCAGAGCAGCAAGAACAAGATGGGGTGGTCTGCATAACCGCATGTTATTTGTGTCTTTTCATTCTCTAGCTGTCAGAAATGATAGGAACAAAAAGAAGAAGGAACCTTCAAAGCAGGAGTCCACAGAAAACTATGAAATGACAGCGGAGTTGGATGATCTCACTGAGAAGATCCGGAAAGCTCACCAGGAAACCTTCCCCTCGCTCTGCCAGCTGGGAAAATACACTACGGTAAGCATGATTTGTAAAGCTTACATGTAAAGCTGCATGTACCTGAGTGACACGGGTTTGTTGAGTGGAGACTTTGGGTGTTCAAATAAGACACAAAAGTAGATTGTGTCCTTGATTGACTCCTCGAATTTTCTTAGCCAGGAAAAATGCGTATATGCATGGAAATAAATGCTAAAGAAGAGATGTTGCACTTCTTTAGTGTATGCCTTATTTACCAGTATTGTGAGAGGCTGCCCAAAGGATTAAATCCATTGAGGAGACCAACTTGGACTCCATGAGGGAATTGTATACTACCATTCATTCAAAATTCATTAATTTCTAAAGTCTTGAGTTCTGCTAGTGAATCACTGGGTTACCATTTAGCAGGTGTAGAATGTCCTGGTAACGGTTTTCAACTACCAAGGTCATGGAATATATGAGTGAAATAAACCAGGTTCTAAAATGCAAATTTGTGGTTTATTCCCCCTCCAGTCTACCAAAAAAGCAAAAAGCAGCATGTACTTTAGCTGCTTTTTAGAAATGAAAAATCAGCCTCCAGTCAGGAAATCGAGTATAGTAGGATTTCTCCAGAGGCTGACTTGGGGAAATAATTTTTTTTTCTATACATATATATTGCTAAATGCTGGGGGAAAAGTCTGCAGTATTTATAGATTTCAGAGAGGAAACAGAATGTCAAGTTTGCAAATGCAGTTATAAAAAAGGGATGCTAAAAAATGTACTTTAGGCAATATTTAGAGACGTAGCACAGGGGAATTGCCTGTGTTTGGTCTGGCCTGCGCAGTCCGTTGATGCAGAGAGCTGCAGCAGTCCTGGATGTTTGAGGGGGCTGAGCAAGCCCTGAAGATGCTGCAGTAGCTCAGTATGTTCTCACTTAGCAGGGTGTGAGGTGCAGGGGCTTGGCTCGACCAAGGAGCCATCGACCTCTGGCGTTCTCCTTGCTGAAGACTGGGGAATAAGATTGAGAATCTAGGGAAAATGCACACTCTTTGGTTGCTCTCCATTCCAAGTCAACTGAATAAGACACTAAATGCTGGATTTCTCAAAGGAAGAGCAGCATAGGCAAGCCCATGCAAGTCAGGAGTATTCAATTCAGTGTTTTCATGAACAAGGGGCTGTACAGTGTGCGCATTCCTATACAAAGTGCAAGGAACAAAGTCTCAGGTTGAGGTGTGAAGTTTGGGGATTGAAGTACAAGGAAAGCAGGCCCAGGTGTTGTGGAGACCAGAAATGCAGAAGGCTGAAGGTTGTGACTCTGGAGAAGAACATCGTTTCTGTGTCCATGAAAGCTTCATCAGCTTACTAGTACTGGGGAAGACCCTGTCACCTGTGGGCTGCTTTGGTGCTGTGTCTGCTCGGGGTAGACTTAGCCAAAATAGTCGGTGCAGACACGCTGGTAAATACTGCTGAAGAAGGCAAGCCCAGCCCAACCTTCAGGGATCAGTGTGGTCTGCAAGGCCAGGAGCTCAAGAACATCCACTTGGTGACAGAACTACAAGACTCCACTTCAAGGATGGAGACTGGGATTTGTAGTGTCTCTTTCCAAGGGAATTCCTGAGGTAACGCTCTCCATACCTTTCCTCATACTATGTGCTGTGTCCTCATCCTGAGGCAAACATGATAAACTTGTCGTGATGAAGTTTTGTGCTGCCTCTGAGCTAGAAACGTGCCAGGAGCCGATGTGTTGGTGCCCTGTACTGGCAGATATCAAAGATCCTGAATGACGGAAAGATAAACCCGGGCACCGTACTCCTGCATTATATATTGGATGCTTAAGTATCATTAATATTTCAGCTCCTGAAATGATACAAATGGATGAAATTGGAGCAGGTCTGGTTGCATATCACACCGCTGATGCCTGATGGTGAGGTTATGTCCGTGCAGGAGTTGCAGAGCCCGTACTGAGAGATGGATTTTAATAATGGTGGGATCCGTGTTGACTGTGGATAACCATGATCCGACCCCAGTGTCCCTGAGGCCGAGTAGGGGTAATCCTGAGCTCAGGCCACACTGGACAACCTGGGGATACAAGACTTGATTTTGTTGCTATTTTTTTGGCTCTCAGTATCAGGTTAGCAGCATCTGGCTGAAGGCTGCTGCTTTGCCGGGCTTCGGTAAAACAGACACTGCAATAACCAAGTTACACTGAGAGAGGTATTTCTGGCTTAGGTGGAATCTTGGAGGGCTGTATGTTTTCTGTCAACAGCTGTATCAAAAGTAACAGGAGCAGGGCTAAATGTTAGCTGCCATTTCACTTTGCTCTAATGCTCTCTGTGTGAAATGCTAACTATTAAAAACTCTCATCTAGCTAAGGTTTGGTGACCATGCTGTCATTTTGCGTAGGAATTTGTTGTTAATGCTACTTTTCCCTAGCTTTTAAGGTGATTAAAGTACAGGAATCCCTCAGCTGTTTGCAGCTGCTTTAAAAAATAAAACTAAAAAATTGGGGTTTTAGAGTATTTCTGAATAGCAGTGTGATTGGGATAAAATAGAATAGGTTGGAATAAAATAAAATAGCATGGTTGGGATAAAGGTAGTCTTCCATCTGCAGCTTCTTCCATCTTCTGTCCCCAAAGGAGTCGGGGAGAGAGGTTTTGGTGGAGGTGCAGGATCCATGGGCTTCTCAGAGAGCTAAAATGAGGCTTGGGACGCAGCCTTTTCTTCTGTGGCACTTGAAATAGGGATAGATGTCAAAAAGCAGAACCTTACCACTCTTCTGTCTCTTTATTATTATTATTATTTTAATTGGGGACCAAAGAGAAGCTTAGGATGCTTTTCTGTGTGTGTGTGTGATAGTAACAAGATAGCACAGGTAGAAGATGCTTTTCTGCCTCCTTTTGTAGCCCAGTATCCATGAAAAATAGCCCCTTCATTCTGTGAAGCATCTGGGCTGGTTTTACCACCTTCTTCCTRTGGGTTTTACTCCTTTAACTGTTCAAGTGAGGAGCCAGCACATGGAGTCAGCCTGGATCCACCGGAGTCTCCCGAGTTGTGCTCTGTGGTCCCGACGGAAGCCGGGRCAGGAGGGATCTGCGCTCCATAAGCTCTGCTCCTGCACGGCTCTGCTTCCATGGTCTTGGAGACTGATTAAACACATGTTTCTGTTTGTTGCTAAAAAGAGCAAAGGATTTTAAGTATTAGAGAGTGGGGTAAAAGCCGACATACAGTCATTAAAAACCCAAATCTGCTCATACATTTGGCCGGCATAGCTGGCTGCCCGTGCTCTTGACCACAGCAGYCTGCATTTCCTGGAGGAAAAGGTTGTGTGGTATTTTTGCCCCCATTGTGTGTTTTTATTTGTTCCAAAATTGGACTTTGAAAAGCATTTTCACTTGTGTGCTTTACATCTGTCTGCTCTTTAAAAGGGAAAAGGGTCCCCCTCTGTAGTAGTCACTGTACTTTGCATAGTTAATAAAAGTCTACTTAAAATAATGGGGCAGTAGCGCTCGTATTAAATTCCCTGGGTCATTTGGCTTAACAGTTGCATTTGGTGGGCAGTGGCAAGTCTAGCTCTGTCGATGATGAGAATCAGCAAGCTGTTTAAACATAATGGATTTCAAAAGTCCATCATAAATAGCTCTGTTTTATTACTGTCATCCAGGTAAGAGAAAGTGCCATAGTAATTTCTCCAGAGATGTCATACTTTATAGTATAATTGAGTGTAACTATACTGCTTGTCCCTTGAGACCCGTGTTATTTGTAAGTGTACAGCTGTGCTACATCCAGCCTCGTGATAAAGGGAGGATAAAACAGCAAATAATTTTTCCTCTGCAGATCCCTGCCTCCGGGGCTCCCGAGCTGCCCTCGGAGGTTTTGCAAAGCCCGACAGGTTTGGCATCCCGGTGGCTGGGCTCTGTGCAGGCGCTCGGCTTACAGGTTGCCCGRGTGTTTTGCTCTGCTGCGTGGCTGCAGAGGAGACACAGGGCACCCTGATGTGGGGAGCAAGGGCAGGTTGTGCCCGGAGCTCACAGGCTGTGCCCTGCTCCCGCTGCGGAGCCGTGGCCGGTGCTCCCGAGCCGGGCGCTGTGGCTCCTCCGAGCCCTGTTCCGCTTGTGAAGTGGCTTTTGGAGACGGGAGGGATTCTGCCCCTGTGCACGTGTGTGGGAGTAGCTCGTCCTGTGTGGTTAATGCAGAGATGGGGCAGGCTGCAATGAAAAACAAAAATGATGGAAAAAATGGGATCCATTTATGTGGCAAAAATGGCTGTTTAATTGGATTTCATGGCAAGGTTGGGCTTTTCTACTGATAAAGCTGTCACTAGGGTGTCTTACAGTGTTGTTCCACCATATGTGCTCTGGTGCARAAGCTTGAAAAACATGCAAGACTGCTCCTGGAAAAGACACCCAAAAACTGCTTCAGTACAATATTCAGGAGAAATCATTGCATCTGCATCTTTTTCACAGCRTGGTTGGAGGAGATCCCCGGGCAAATTTAATCAGTGTTTCTATTTCTAAAATGCATTTTATGAACCGTGCATTTTAGAGTTCAACCTATGCATTGGTAAAGTCAGCTTTGTTTTTACACGTTCAGAAATGCTGCTAAAAAGCTAGTTATTTTCCRGGATGCTCATGGCTGCCTTCATTACCAAATAAAATGCTAAAAGTCCTTCCATTTGTAGCATCTCAAAGATAATATGTAAATCACATTAGGTCCAGTGCTGGGGAATGTGGCAACCGGCATAATAAAACACCAGGTTATTTTGTATTTTATTAACTGCCCCTTCCCTTCAGTTTGCATAATGGTGAGTTCGATTTACATTTGTTAAGACGGCCGTGCATTACTCTTACTAGAAGACACGTCAAACTCCCCATTGCCAGTACTGCAGCATGATAAAGTAACCTCATATGATACTGATGAAGATTTCGTTCACACTTGCTGGTTTCCTGCAACGTCTTTTTTTCCAGATGGATACCCTATTGTAAAATGATTTCCTGCTTTAGGCTCTGCTTTGTGTAGCTCTACGCTATGCCATCTTTCTATGAACTGGATAAACTGCCTATTAAATTTAATTACAGCCTGAATGACTGCACATCTTGATCTTATTTTTCCTCCAATGTACTGTATTTCACCAAGGTCCTTGAGGATGAAATAAAATAAATCTGAAGGATGCATACTCCAGTAGCCAAAAGAAATGTTTCAAAGGGCATTACAATGACTGTTAACCCATTAGTGTTGGGCCATTTTGAAGGAATTCCTTGGGTTTAGGATTATGCAGAGAGTTTCTCCCATCTTTTCTTCTGCCATTTAAAAACAAAATGAGAGAAGCTGATTTTAAAGAGTTCCCAGAATAGCCATTCAAATGGAAACTCAATTAGTTTATTATCCCTTCAAAAGTGGCTCCCTTGGGCCCAGCCACAGCTCCACATGGCACCTCTCCTCAGGCCTGGCCCTGGCCTCCCATTGCCCATGACCACTCTGGCCTTATCCCGTGTCCCGTGCCCTCTCTCCAGCCACCTCCCTCTCGGGAACCACTGGATGCTGGTGGCGTCCGAGGTGCCTKACTGCCTCGTATGGCTTTTTGCTCATGGAGAATTGCTTTGCGAGGGATTTTGCCCAAGGTAGACTCCCTTTGTAGCAGCCATTCAATAAAACCTGCCCCTGCGTCACAAGGAGGCCCCGGTGGCTGAGGCGGGAGGCAGTGGGAAGTCACCACAGCAGGTCCCTGAAGAGGAGGAGTATGTACGTGCGGGAGGGAGGAAGGCAGTCCCACTGCGTGGCTCCTTCGGAGATATCCAGCTGTTCTCAAGGAGCTAGGGGTCCTCACCAGCAGCAACGGCGGGGACAAGGCTATTAGAGATGTCACCTCCRAGAAAGGGTGAGCCCAGTAAATTGCATGCTTCCTCTGGGCATGGTATCTGTTGTGTTTATTAACTTGGTTTAAGGGTTCAGTAGCTGTTTATAATGTACAAAACTATGAATCACAATGCAATATGGGTGTATATCCTGGAAAATCACATTTTTTGGATTAAGATATGTTAGTATATATGGAAAAAGTCCCTGAAAGACATAGATACAGTGTCTTTGGAACACATCAAGCAGTAGGGGATATGCTGGAGGTACCATCAAATGAGYATGCAGCATTCGTCATTGTACACGGTGTTTTTCATAATGTTGTCTAGAGCAATTCTCTTTAATTCATGAGACACTGTAGCTCGAGAAAGCTGTAAAATCCTTGCAGAGCCACAGAGCAGATAAATTAAGTAGAACTAATTTGCTAAGACCGTAAGTATGTGAAGCTGTGTTCCAAATATTGTGCTGCTTTTTCCAGCTGAGGACCCAATATTCATGTTCCACTGTTCATTTTATTTTCCGGGGTACAACTGTAAATTGTCTCTCTCACTGTGCTTATTATATAATGGCAGGGAAGAATAATGATAGTGGCATTTGAAAATGCTTAAGTTCATTTGTATTCCTTGTACAGATGGCCTCTGCAATCATAAGCAACAGAAATATCCAAGGAATTTTCAGGCGATTAATCCAAGTTTAAAAACAKCATCATCCCAACAGCAAACTGCAGAAAATGCCTGGAATGTTAATAGAAAGTGCTTCTAGAAGGCATACTCTGTTGTTGTTTCCTTGCCTTGAAAATCATTTATTCAGAGGAAGATTATTGATTTACGGTGCCTTTGGTTTTGTTTTGTTTTTTTTTTCCAGAACTCTAGTGCAGACCATCGGGTTCGGCTGGATCTCGGGCTTTGGGACAAATTCAGTGAACTCGCAACCAAGTGCATTATTAAAATAGTGGAATTTGCAAAACGATTGCCAGGCTTTACCAGCCTGACCATTGCAGACCAGATAACTCTACTTAAAGCAGCCTGCCTGGATATACTGGTACGTATCTTTAATGTCATTCATCGATGTGTTATTGATAAATTTTATAGAGTGTGTTACTGATGAATTTTATGGAATGGACTGTAGCCCTTGCCTACAAATATGTGTTATATTGGATGGCTCTATTTTTCTAGATACGCAGTAAGCCTTCACAGTGGGTAGATTTCAGTATTCTCACAAGAAGGGCACGTTTTGATATTCTGGTACTGAATTTAATATGTACAGCTTTGGAAAATGTTCCCTACCRTGAACACTGAAGAGAGATCTGGTTCCCTTTCCTTCCTCCTCTTCCTCCTCACTGCAAAACGGAACACAGCCAGGGCTCTGCATAAACGACGTCTGGACAGACAGTGCCCTGTGTAGCATTTTAGCATTTAGCACCCTGTGTCGTCGCAGGGTGGTTCAAGGAGTCAGATCCCAATGTTGTGTGTGTTGAACCAGATGCACCTCAAGGTGCAGGTGCTGATGCCTTTGGTGTATGGAATTGCCGGCTTTCAGAGGAGGTCGGATATCTGTGAGCCCAGACTCAGAAGCGCACATCATACATGTTAGCAGACGGCATTGAATTTAGCACAGCAGCGTGTGCTCTGCAGTCGGGACGTACGTAGGGGGTTTGAAGTGTCTGTGCGGGYGTCGCCACAGCTCCGTGGGGCAGGATGTTCCCGGCTCCTGTCAGGCAGGGCAGTGCGTTCCCTCAGAAATGCCCGCAAGATCTGCGGGGCTTTAGTGCCAAGTGTGCTCTTTATTATGACCGTTACACTGACTTGCAGGAAAATAGTRGGTACTTTAAGCAAAATCTGCCCTTGGAAATGTTTTTGAGCACAAATGTGCCAGTCTTTATTGAACCAAATGATTCTTCTGTTTGCCAAGGAACTCTTGGTAGGGTGGCTACCGTATACATGTATTTTGACATCAGATAGCGTTTTAAACTGGAGAATTGGAAGCTAAAATAGTTAATCTCAGAATTTCTGAGAATGCCCCRCTTCAAACAGGGCCTCTTCAAGGCGGACATTAACGGCTCTGACCTTTTCTTTGTGGCCTGTCTAAAGGGGTTTGGAAGACGCTCGCATAGAGGACGCTGATGCGGAGCAAGGGGGGCTGTCGTTGGTGGGCCCATGGCAGGAGCCGAGCGCAGCCCGCAGCCCTCGAGCTCTCCCCCGTCCTGTGGGGCCTGTGGGGCCTGCGGCGCAGCGTGGGGCGGCAGCTCCCCGGGCGGGCGCGGGCGTGGCCGCCATGTTGGGCTCCCTGCCGCCCGCTGCGCTGGGCGGGGCCGAGCGGTCGGGCGCCATTTTGTTGGGGCCTCCAGAGAGAACGGTGCTTCCCGGCCTGTGGTCACGGGCACAAGGAAAGCTTAGCTGCCAGTTTCCAAAAAAAAAAAAAAAAGAAAGGAGTATTAATGACAAGGCAGGTGGCGAATGGTGACTTTATTTCAACTSCCTAAATATCTGATGGACAGAAAGGGAAGAGCTGGGATTTCGTTTCAAACCAGGCGCACTGAACAGTCCCGAGTGTGCGGTGCCAGGTTTGCTGGCACTCGAGGACTTCCCAGTGCTCCCGCAGCCGTCCCGGCTCCGCGTCCCCAGAGAAGCTCCGCGCGGCTGCTTCTTGCAGCCTGGGATCCTGCAGAGCCCTCGCGCTCCAACCAGGGAATCGTGCCAAGCACTCAGCAAACTCCTTTGGATGGCGGTCAAAGGCTTGTTTTACATACAAACAAACACAAGCTCTGGAAGGGAAATGGCATCAAACCTCCAAAGATAGTCCAAGACGCCAGTTGGGGATGGCGGAATTTGTATTTGCTCTGGAGCCAAAAGCTTTCGGGATAAATGTTACTGAAATTCGATCAGTAACCCTCGTAAATGTGATCGCTTCTGTCTGCTTGTCCGCAGACCCCGCAGGAGCAAAGTGTGTGCAAAATCATCGGGTTTGGGCAAAACGAATGTGAGGAGTCCACAAAGTGTCTGTCCTTCTGAAGTCTCATTGAAAAAATTAAGATGTTCTTGAGCTGATCCTTAAAAGCATCATTTTAGCCTTGGGTTGTAAAGCCCCGCACGTCTGTGGGTGCAGGTTGAGGTGTGCAGGCGGGATGCTCCAGCTCTGGGGAGGTTTGTCCCTGCGCTCCAGGGGCACCCGCTCCCGTCCCTCCCGGCAGGAAAGTCACCGCTGGCCACGGCAGCTCCAGGGAAGGAGGAGGATTTGTCTAAGAAAATCCAGGTTGCGTTAATAAACCTCTTTACCACAGGTAGTTCTGTGACTGATGAAATGTATCTTTCTGGATAACCAGTTTTGTTTTGTGCAACACATAGGGTTTTTATTTTGCTATCTGGAATTGACTCATGGGAGCTCTAAATCCTTTAAGATATAAATAGTCTCCAAAACAAAGGGCCCTTTAATCATGGTAAGAACCTTATTTATGGCTACAAGTGGCATTTAAGAGCGGAGTGACAACTAAAATACTTGGCTTGCTTCCAAAACCTAAACACTACTGAGGACATTAGGATGATATCTTCTAGACCGCGGTTCCGTTTAAAAAGGAGAGAGAGATACAGTGATTTCTTATTTTAAAGTGCTGACATTTCCCATATGTTCTGCAGCGAATATGAGCTCAAGATCAACTTTGCTTTGACTTTGGAAGTTTGCCCGAGAAACATTTAGCAGCGAATCAGCAATATCCGTGGCGTTTTGCAGATCTTGATGAAGGGCACAAATTAAAAAAACATTTTAAATGATCTGTCTCATAATTTAATAACAGCGCGTTGCGGGATAATGCCAAAGGAATTCGGGAGAAACCTGAGATCCYGTTGCTGCAGCCAAGTGAAGTGCCTTGCAGAGACTGTGCATCTGAGCTCCAGCTGTGCCAGGCTCTCTCTGGGCCACCGAGGGCTTGTCCTGTGCGCGGCTCGGGCAGAATTTAGGTACCAAACCCTCCAGCCTGCGCTYTTTAGGAAAACAAACAATGAAAAARTTCAAAAGTTGCTGCCCGTGCCTGAGACAAGGTGAATTCTAGAGGCCTCTTAGGCCGCGATCRCTGGCTTTGTGAGGTGCCTGGTCCTGTGCCACTCGCCGTTGCCTCCAGTTGTTGTGACTCCCCCGAGGCACCGACTCCGGCCAGGGCTGGAGGTTTCGCACCTTCCCTGTGCTCTAAGTCCGGCCCTGGGGTAGCTCAAGTTGGGCCTTGCGGCACTTGCACCTTTCGTTTGCCCTGGAAGTTGCACTTCTGTGCCCCGCTCTGTGGCTTGTCCTTGCGGAGGAACCGTGCCAGCCGTCCCGGCCCATCCCAGCTTGTCCTGGGTGCYGTAGCAGCCTCGGAGTTTCCCAGGGAACACACACTTTTCAAGCCATGTTCTTCTTGGAAACAGCAAACTCTCCGTGTTTCCTTTTCTTTCTCCCCAATCTGTTCCTCCAAGGGGGCTCYGGGTTTGTTCAAACTGGCTATCGAGCAGGTCAGGCTGCAGCCCTCACGGTGCCTTGAAGGATGATGAGGGGAGACATCCCTGGGGCCGGGTGTAGAACCAGCTCCGCCAGCTGCGGCAGGAGGACACGGCCGCCGGGAGCCGCCTGTCGCTCCTTGCCTTGTCCCGCTTCTTTCCCATTGCGTTCTTTTYCCAACTAAATATTTGCTTAGCGGCTGCAAGCAGCGTTGTGCTCGTGTCATAGGATTGGCCCATATGCCACTATGGATAACTCGAGGGCAGCTCAAGCACGGAGCACGTTCTGCCCCTTTCGCCAGTTTGCAGCAAGCAACACTCACTCACACAGGACAGAGGGGAGATATTTTGTCCTTACCAAGGCACAGCTCTGAGAAGCTCTGTCCTGCAAAGTTAATCCCGCCCATCAGTGAAATCCGTGCCTGCTCCGAGAGGAGACGGGATAGCTGCGTGCACCCCACATACTGCCAATGGAAGGGGTTACGGGATTGCTGTGGGAACATTAATGATTTATGCTCAAGGAATTGCAGAGAAGTTTTTGTTACATAATAATCAGGCAAAAATTTAGCAGTGACCCATTTCTGTTCTAAAAATAAAGCAATYGTGGTGCATTTCAATATATGCGTGCTGTACCAGCGCATTTTTGTGCTACCAGAACTGAATGTACCAGAGCTGAGTATCAGCCTRTTTTGACGTGAGCGTGTGCTGTCGTTGCACGGATAATTTGCTGCATTGAGGAAATGCAGGAAACCTTCGACGGGCTGGATTCCTCACATTTCGTTCTCCTTTGCTCCCRCAGATCCTCAGAATTTGCACAAGATACACGCCTGAACAAGACACCATGACCTTCTCCGACGGCCTTACCCTCAACCGGACCCAGATGCACAACGCGGGCTTCGGCCCGCTCACCGACCTCGTGTTCACGTTTGCCAACCAGCTCCTGCCCCTGGAGATGGATGACACGGAGACGGGGCTGCTCAGTGCCATCTGCCTCATCTGCGGAGGTACCGCTGCCTGCCCCGCTCAGGCACCCCCTACGCAGCAGATAAACGGCCTGCACCGACCGGGGGGGTCGTTCACAACCAACGATGGTTTTTGGTTTTACTTTATTTTTTTTCCTGAATCTGATCRTTCAGTCAGGCAAATGATCCTATTTTCACCTGATAAAGACATATGGGATGCATCCTGCTGCCTTGCCCCCTATGAATGAATTTTGTTACTAACTTCTTTTTATATAACTTAGAAGTGTAATGGCTTTCGTATCCATATAYTGATGTTCACGCAGAAGTCATTGGGGACAGTTTTCTTGAGGAAGAGTTCTGGTTTATAAGTAACACAGCAGCACATTCGACATGATTTTGAGGGCTTGGCCGCAACAAAAACCAAGTGGAAAGAGACATCAAATAATCCTGGATAATTAAAAAATATTAAAAAAGGGAGCCTCAGCCTCTTCACGTTCTTCCACTAGAGGARGAAAGGCTAGTTCTTCACTAGCCTCTTGTGCCAGTCTTTTTGCTTGCACAAAAAGAGAGAAATGAGCTCAAGGATCACACCTGGGTTGGGGAAACACAAGCTGTGCAAAAAAGTCTCTTCCCACAATTCTCCTTCCTTTGCAATATTTTAGGCACTACAACTGACTGGTTTAAAGCCAAGTGCCGGTCTTTGGTGAGGGTGTCCCCTCAGTGCGAAATCGTTCTGATTTTATGTGTGTCTGAGCACAAGCCATGGGACGCAGCCGCTGCTCCTGAGATGCCCTGGCGCTGCTGCTGCTGCTGCTGCTGCCGCCGCTGCAGCTGCTGCTCCTGTTGCTGCAGCTGCTGCTGCCGCTGCTGCCGCTGCTGCTGCTGCCGCTGCTGCTGCCGCCGCTGCCACCGCTGCCGCTGCTGCCGCTCCTGTTGCCGCTGCTCCCGCTGCTGCTCCCACTGCTGCTGCAGCCCCGTCTGCGGGTGACATTTGTTGTCGCTCAGGGTGGCACTGCCCCCAGCTGATGGGTGCTGGAAATTCACTCCATTTGGGTTGTGACAAAATAAAACCAGCTTTTGTATACAYGAGTAGCCTATAAATGCCACAGACAAGGTTAATTCTCATTTATTCCCCTTAGAGTGAGGGACAARAGCAAACCGACCATTTTGGGCCACTCAAATTACAAGCCCTTCCAGTAGCCAAGGAAAAACGAATCTCAGCATTATAAATGATGTTTTGGCTTCTTCCTATGGAATACCAGCCCCACAGAGTGTGGGTCATAAATTGAGAAAATTATGAGCTTCTGATCAAGACAATGGAGGCGCTTCTGTGCTTTGCATTTTGTAGGAAACAGCTCAAATAATACCAGCGATACCATGCCTATTTATTTATTTATTTATCTATTTATCTATCTATCTATCTATCTATCTATTTATTTATTTATTTATTTATTTATTTATTTATTTATTTACCAGATCGCCAGGACCTTGAAGAACCAATGAAAGTGGATAAGCTTCAGGAACCCTTGCTGGAAGCACTGAAAATTTACATCCGAAAGAGACGACCCAACAAGCCTCACATGTTTCCAAAGATCTTAATGAAAATCACAGATCTGCGCAGCATCAGCGCGAAAGGTAGAGGCTCCGGCAGCCAGGGCAGCGCAGGCGGTCGCGTCCCCCACGTAGCCCGAGGGACRCTGGCCTAGGGGCCGGGCGCTTGAAAAGACCCCCAAGAAAAAGTAAATAGGAGCCTCACGACCTTTTTCTTGCCTTTTAAAACTGGGGAAAAAATATTTCAGCCGCCTTTAGGTCTGTCTTCTTTAGATGTACTCTGGGATGCTGATTTTTAGCAGGGCCGTGTTCTAGCAGATAGTTGAACTCTGCGGTTTACAGCCCTGAATGGTCTGAAGTTGTCAGGACAGACGGAGCTTCTTGCCCAGCCGGCATGCCCCGGAGGAGGCACGTTCCCAGTTCAGGCTGGCAGAGGAATTTTTACTGCCTGTCCTCAAAGTCTGAGGTTTAACTGCAAGATATTCCTGTCTSTCTGTGGTCTTCCTCACCTTGCATCTAAAAGTTTCTGTCCTTCAACCCTTCCAGTACGTTGCTGCTTAAAAGGCAGTGAGGTACTGCGGGTGTATCCATGTCAGTATGGACTAAACAAAATAGTTAAAGGTTTTCTGAGCCCTTTGAAAAGTTCTGCTTCACCCACTTACCAYGAATCAGCCAGAACTTCAGCAGTTCTTGCCATACTTTACAGACCCAGTATTTGAAAAGAGCATAAAATACATTCCARGATAGTCCCAGGTCTAGGTGATCCAAGTGACATGACACTTTTCATAGCAATTTACAATTGTTTGATTCATTCAGCCACCCTGTACTGTCACAGTCGCTGTGATGGGAATTTCAAGTTCCCCTGTTGAGGAGCATTCATCTCTGTTTCGTTTAGTAACTGACACAGGAAACRTGCCTGATGTTGTCTGCAAGAACTTTAGAGAGATTTTTTTTCCATTAATGTGCCTGAAATTACTAGAGATGATATATATATATATTAAAAAAGTGTGTAGGTTGTACTAATAAAATTCCCTTCTTTTTAAAGGTGCAGAACGTGTCATTACATTGAAAATGGAAATTCCCGGCTCCATGCCGCCTCTTATTCAGGAGATGCTGGAGAATTCGGAGGGACACGAGGCCCTGACCCCGACGTCCACGGGCACCGGCGCCGAGCACAGCCCGAGCATCTCGCCCAGCTCCGTGGACACCAGCAGCGTCACCCAGTCCCCGATGGTGCAATAAGACATTTCCCAGATCCTTCAGACATTCCCAACACCTTCTGTACAGGGATGGAAAGCAAGACAAACATTTTTACTGCTGCTTAGTTCTCTGGACTTAATATATATCTATATATGTATATAGATATAGATAAAACTCAACAAGGACCAAGAAATTTTCGTATGTATCGATATATACTCCTTGCTGTTTAAACTCTTAAAACTAGAAAAATGTAAACTTTTGAAACTCTAAATCAGCCATTTCATGCAAAAAAAAAGAAAAAAAAAAGAAAAAAGTTAAGCTTCTGTTTTCTTCTCTGAGCACTCAAGATTGCATGGTGACAAGACAGATCTCAGACTCTCCATTCTGGTTGCATTTCTGATGACTTTGTACATACAAACGTATGGCTCTACTTTCTATACTGGATGTTTGGTGCTTTCCTTTTGTCTCTCATACCTAAAGCGATCAGGACACCGGGTGTATGAAATGGACTTCTGTGCACATCCAGAAAAGGCAGTTTAACGGATCGTCTCCTTAGTTAATACRAAAACTTATCCCTGGTGCCCTCAGTTTGCGTCTCCTTCCTTGTAAAAAGTCTACGGAAAGTCACCGCTCTAGCAGGAAAGGCAGCGGTGTCAGCGCGAGCTGCCACGTCGCTTGTGCAGGTGTCATTTGTCCCGCTGTTAACGTCACTTTAAATGTAAGAGGTGGTTCATTCCCGGCTGGAGCCCTGGCCGCAGGAGCAGCTATTCCGTGTCTCCAGGACCGCAGCCTCCAAGGCAGAAACASTGTCAGTGTTACCACGTTGTTGTTTACTCGTTCACAAGCCATTAGGGGAGCGTCACRGGCGACAACCAGCGGAATGAGGCACAGCTTTGGAGGGGGCGGCTCTAGGGTTTTTCCTTAGGATCCTGCTGCCCGGAATCAGCCGCGTTACCGGCCTTCCAGGTGCTAAGGAATGACAGCCTTCCCGAAACACAAGGAGAGAATCTGCCGCCTTGGCCTTGTTCAATCACCATAAAGCAGAGTGAGAACTGTGGTAGGATGGGTAACAGAGTTAAAGTGTCAGTTTCTTAGGTTTCATTTAAAGCACTAGTGGATTTTTTTTTATATATTCTAGCAAGTCTGTGATGTACTTTCACTGGCTCTGTTTGTACATTGAGATTGTTTAACAATGCTTTCTATGTTCATATACTGTTTACCTTTTTCCATGGAGTCTCCTGGCAAAGAATAAAATATATTTATTTTAAAAAAAATGCTGTGTAGAAGCAGTCCCCTTGGAGAAGCAGATTTGCCACACACAGGATACTTTTCCATTTTTTAATGTTTAAATTTCATTTCAAAAAGCAGGTTTGCTGTTCGCAACCATGACAATTAAAATGTGCTTTAGCACAGCTGTCTAGAACATCTCTACAAGCCAGTCAGACAAATACATGACATTTCAATGAGTAAAAAAGAGCATAAAACTGTAGGTGTAAGAACAAAATGTTAAAATGCCTACACACAATAATAAAAACCATCAATTACATTATCACATAAAATAAGTCAAATGTACAAAAGTTTGCGACAGAAGGGACAAAAGGACAACACAAGATATTTGTTGGAAAACATTTGTGTGCTCTTTGGGCACTTAATTAAACATATCAAAATCGTCGTCGTCGTCAGATTCTGCAAAATATTTAACTTCTTTCCTGGCCCGGCCCGTCCGYGGCTTGGGGGCAGCTTCCGAGGCGAAGCCGGACTGAAATATCTCCACGTCGGAATCCTGGTCGAACGCGGCCCTCTTGGCTTTCTGCAGGAACACAGGGCAGAGCGTTGGTGCCTGCGCTGCACTTGGCATCCTGGCCCGCACAGCTGACACTTCCCAGGCATTTCGCACTCCTCCACAATAGACAGTTCCCTATTTCACAAACATTTCTCCAGCATCTTCTGTCTCAACATGTAAACTATCAACTGTCTAAACCCCAGTTGCCAGCTCTGCAACCTGCAGTAAGGGCCTGTGCATTTTCATTTAAAATAACCCCTCTGGTGCTTTCTTTTTCCCAAAGGCAAAAGCCACGGCGGGGACTGACCTTGCTGGGTGCCGACCTGGGCGTTTTCTTCCCAGGGTTGTATTCGCCTTCGTTCTCCGAGCCAGACGCTTTCCTCTTCTTGGCCCCTCTACCTTTTCCTGCATTAGAGAATATGACTTAACTTCTTTCTTACTTTTTTTAAAACAAAAAAACCCCAAATTGTTGAGATTTCTGAAGAAATAACGTTTCATTATGTCCTAAAGTCAAAGTTACGTTTGCAGCTCAGGATTTTTCACAGCAGCAGGAAAATGATCCGTTCTCTTCTTGCAGCGTATTTAATTAATTCGCTCAGTTTCTCATGTTTTTTTACACTCCTCTGAAGTTACCATTTCTCCTTGCAAGTCACGCTCGCAGTTCAAGACAGGGCAACCACTGTTATATCCAAGACTGACTTCTGAAGTATTAACAGAGCCTGAGCCCCTTTCCGTCCCGGGTACTAAACAGGAAAGGCAAATTAATCCCGTGGAAAGGAACCTTGCTGCTAACCTCAGCTGTCAACAGAGAGAAACCCCTTCCCCTTACAGTCCCTCTGATGGAATCACTTGGGATGCTCTGATACGTCTCTGGGTTTCCTCTGAGCACCTTCCCAGCTAAGGACTGCGATAACAATGAGCTGCTTTAACAATCAAAAACCAAAAAACAGCCCCAAAATTGCTTATGGGAATTAACAGCCAGAGAATTTAAGTCTTGTATAAAGCTGAGATGAAAGAATACACATCAGCAGCACCTCAGAGAAGTGCCGGGCAAGAGCACAAGGGACTGCAGTTATAAAGTGCATTCCCAGAAGCTAAACGAGAAGTTCACAGCCCTGTCAGCCCAGGAAAGTCAGCAAGCTCTTTCTGTCACACACAAAACCCTCTTGCTGAGTCACTGACCAGTGACTCATCAACCAACAAACCAACACGATTCTCCTTCTGGAAGCTGCTTTTGTGCTTGCTCATAATCCTAAGGCTGCTGCCAGGCACGGCAGCAGAATTCCCACCTCTGGGCGCCGCCGTCTTCTTTGGAATGCCGAATTCCGAGTCTGAGTCCGAGTTCACAGTCTCCACCTTCTTGGCCTTGGGAGCCCTTTTAGGTTTAGGGGGTGCATCTAGTTTCGCTGTTTGAAGTCAGAGATATTAAATACGTTACATTCACATGTTGGTTAGAACTGTCCAGCTGGATTGCTACTTGGATTATGGCCGAGATGTCAGCTCCTGAACTGCGAGGGGTCTGCGCCTGGGGAAAGCAAAGCGCCGAGCCCAGCCCCCAGGCTGAAAGCCGGGCCTAAGCAGGAGGCTTCTTGGCCAGATTTACTTGAGAGCGCAGTGAGTGAGTGAGTGCTCTGAACTAACCACTTTCTTCATATGAAAAGGAAGGCATCCGAAAGTGATAAGGGAAGGAAAACAGAGAAGGCCACAGAAAACTCAGCCTGCCATGAGGTAAGAGCTACGCTCTTTAACTTATGGAATTACTATTAGGTAAAAAAAAAAGCACATGATTTTCACCATGAATTCTGGCAAGCGTCTAGCAGGATCTTTAAAGATTATGCATCCACAAACACATTCCCAGCAGGTGTGAGCTTCTTTCTCTTGGAAGTGCCACCAGTCCATACACCAGTGTTACCCAGCTTGAACGGCACTAAAAAAACACATGGGCCTCCAAACAGACCCAAGAACTGAATGTGAATCGCCCATAATCCCTCCCTTTAGATTCTGTGAGATGCCAGTTCTAAAAGCCTGGCCGCTAAGCCAGAGAAGCCCCAGCCCTCATGCTTGAGGAGGGCCTTCCATCCTCGGCGTCCAAGACCAAGGCAGGTGGGCCAAGCCTGTGTAGGACCCGCACTGCTTGGGCTCCCTCCTCCACGCGTGCTTTCCTTGCTTTCCAGGGAGGCCACCGGACACGCGCCAAGGGCTCTAAGCACCCAGTTGAGCTCTCAGTTTGACCCATGAGAGAAGACAATCTTCAACCCCAGGGGGACCTCATGTTTCACTCAGGCTATGGGAGTTAAGCTTGTAATTAAACTAGTTTATGGCTGAGCGCTAGGATGTGGCAAGAGACAAGTTTTGACATTACAGTGGTCAAAAAAAGAAAAAGAGAAGAAAGACATTAGTGTCATCATGGCACTGGAAGAAGTTCACACCCCTTGTTCAATGTAACAGTTCAAAATCAAGGAATGCAGTTCCCACTTTGAAGGTGTGGATACACAGTGTAAAGGCAAAAGAACTGAGTTTTAAATAAATGCATGGATTTGCTGGGTAATCCTCTTACCCTTTTTAGTAGCCACTGTTTTACTTGGATTTTTTTCTGATTGCTTTGGGGCAAAAGATGATGAGAAAACAGGAGCAGAGTCCTCTTCATCGCTGTCCAATTTTGTTGTATCTACAATCGGAGAGCACGTTTAGCACAGGATTCCTTCACTGCCCTTTTAACYACCCTGCTAAGTTACACTACAAGTTACAGCATAAGTTAATTTCACAAAAAAAGCGCATCTGATGCTACAGCAAGGCTATGAATGCACTGCAGACTTTCTTATCTACACTACAAATTCCTCTAAGAATCACAACCTCCTCCTTGTTTCATCCTCACAACACTGGACAACTTTCTGTTACAATTAATCTTTGCCTAATATATTCAGTGACAGTTGATAAGGCATGGTAAATAAATCAGTGAAAACAAGCTCACCATCATCTGTCTTCTGAGAATATGAGGGAAAAGAGAAGATGTTCCCAAAGTCTTGGTTCTTCTTGTCTTGAGATGGTTTTCTACTTTCAAAAAGAAAAGCGAAACTATATGAACTGTATTAACTATACAGTTGAAGAAGAAACATTATAGCATCCATTTGAAATTAAATTTCTATTTTGGCACTACATAACATTTTTAGTGTTTTTGTATGCACTTGCAGAAGTTGAAACTTTAAAACTGCTTTAGAGTCAAGCATTTTAGCCATTTAAAATTAATGGAATTCTATTTTTATCAATAGGTCTGTATAGCAAATTTATGCAAGATGAAAATCAGAAAACCTTCCTAAATACAGTTTGACCACCACTATTACTAACAATATAACAGCAAGATAAGTCACCTTCACATCTGTGTGGCTGCCTGTGTGCTGCTCCCCAGATAGATATGTATAATTTCTACTTCACATGGTACATGCAGAGTAATAAGGGATGGATAGTTCTGCCTCATTTTTTTCTGAAGACTTCTACATTCAAAACATTACTGATAAAGAAAGAGCTCTCAGTTACAATACTTACTCTGGAGATGGTTTTGATTTGGCTGGGGAGAAGTCATATTCATCCTTGTCCATGCTGTCTGAGGGAACAAACTCATCCTCTCTGTCATTCGCTACCGGAGAGGCTTTCACTTTGAGCTCATCCAAATCATTGTTGTTGTTGGCATCATCATCATCATCGGCTTCATCTTCTTCTTCTGAGAAATCAAAAGTGTACTTGGGCCTCTCAGCTGAAAAGAAAATATAGATATACATACACATGTATAGATATGCACACACATATAGATATATAAATACACACACATTCAAGGCGGGTGTTCAGGTGAATGCATCAGTAAATTAAAGTGCAAGTCACTGAACAGCCCTGCTTCAGTGTATATAAAAGCATATAGAAGACTGGGGGAGAAGCAGATGGTGCAAAGTGTCACCTCAC